TGGGCAACAGAGCGAGACTCCGTCTCAAAAAAAAAGAAAAAGAAAATTAAGAAATGTTAGCTAGGCCTGGTGGCATGCGCCTGTAGTGCCAGCTACTTAGGAGGGTGAAGTGGGAGGATTGCTTGAGCCCAGGAGTTTAAGGCTGCAGTAAGCTATGATTGCACCACTGAACTCCAGCCTGGGCAACAGAGTGAGACACTGTCTCTAATAAAAAAAGAAATAAAAAAAAAAGAATTAAAAATAATAGTAATAGCAGGCCGGGCGAGTGGCTCACGCCTGTAATCCTAGCACTTTGGGAGGCTGAGATGGGTGGATCACCTGACATCAGGAGTTCGAGACCAGCCAGGCCAACATGGTGACACCCCCGTCTCTACTAAAAATACAACAATTAGCTAGGTGTGGTGGTGTGCACCTGTAGTCTCAGCTACTCAGGAGGCTGAGCTAGGAGAATTGCTTGAACTTGGGAGGTGGAGGTTGCAGTGAGCTGAGACTGTACCACCTGCACTCCAGTCTGGGTGACAGAGTGAGACTGTCTCAAAAAAAAAAAAAAAAAAAAGTAATAGCACATGTGTATTCAGGGTCAACCATATATTAGACATAATGCCAGTTTGAGTATGTATAAGTTCACACTTCCTTTTCGTATCCAATTATGTCATTCCTTTCTGATGCCCTCTCTTCTATCCGCAGGAACTCACACCATTCTTTTCATTCTCTTTTGTTCTGCTTCTTCTCCCAGTAAGAAAACATCTCCCTTCTTCTCCATTTACAAATCAGAATTGTCTATCAGTCTATTCATCCAGTGTCCACTAAGTGCTTACTCTGCACCAGGCACTCTTCTAGGCTCTGAAGATAAATAAAACAAGAAAAACGCCCTGTTCACATGCCATAGAGGATGATGAACAATAGACAAATACGAAGATACACAAGTGCAGCCCCAACACACACATCGTCATCTCATTTAAACCCACTGTACTGAAGGAGAATGTGTGGTTCAGAGATGTCAAGTAACAAGCAAGTGTGGGCGCTGGGTTTCCAACCCAGGCCTGTTGACCTCCTGTTTATGGCATCCCAACTTTATTATAAAGCCCTGAACAAATGCAAAGAGTGATGCTAATTATTGTTGCCAAAATTGAGTGAAATGAAATACAGGCAATTTTATGTGGAATTTTTACTTGTCAGAAACACGAGCCTCTTGGGTTTGTAGTTATCTTCAAAGATGTGTCTGAAAAGTGGAAGCTGTATTCCTTCCACTGATCATACTTCCCTAACTGAGAAGTAAATTATATTTTGAAATGATTGAAACATTTTTAATGATTAGAAACATTAAAATACATCTTACATGTACAGCTTGACTTTATGTGTATACTTATCTAACCACCTAAATCAGGTGAAATAGTTGATTTTAATTAACATCTGCTTAGCCTTGAAATCTGTCACAGCTTCAGAGTGGATAAAACATCTTTCAGTCCCCAAGAAAAACATGTTTATTTTCAAAACGGTTTGGTTTGTGATATTGATATAAAGGCAGTTGCACTTTCCCAACCCTTCCAGCTTCCTTGGTGGAAGGTACTTCCCACGCTTGCCCCTGGAAAGGCAGCCACATCGTCACACACACGTCCTCAGCACAGACTGCTCCTCACAGGCTCTTCTCTTTTCTCCTGTGTCTGCCAAGAGGGGTTTTCCCCTCCTCACACTCTTCCCCTTAGTCCCCGTAGCCTCACCAAGAGAAACAGACTCCCTGGGACAGAGCGGGAGGAGCTGGTTTCTGTCTTTCTCAGATTCCTGCTGGCTTTAGCAACCCCGCAGGCTGTTTCCTTCTTCAGTTCTCCTCTCTCATCACTCTTTTCCCCTCCTAGAGCCTCACTCCCCCTGGCCTGCTCCTGCCCTGCATCTCAGGCCATGCCACCCCGGCCCGTCCCCAAGGCCAGAGGACAGAAAATCTGTATCTCAGGCCATGCCACCCCAGCCCCGTCCCCAAGGCTGGAGGACAGAAAATCTGATCTCATCCTCTTCACTGCCTCACCCTCACTTCAGCAGCTCAAATGACACTTCCTTGAGGAAGCTTTCTCTCACTGTCCCAGCGAAAAGGTTACCATGATGCACTTGACTGGACTTCTCAACACACTCATCTTTCTCTTTTTTTGGTCTTGCGTTGTCACCCAGGCTGGAGTGCAGTGGCACCATCATAGCTCGCTGCAGCCTTGATCTCCTGGGCTCAAGCAGTCTTCCTACCTCAGAGTAGCTGGGACTACAGGCGCTTGCCACCATGTCCAGCTAATTTATTTTTAGTAGAGAAGGGGTCTCACTGTATCACCCAAGCTGATCTCAAACTCCTGGGCTCAAGCAATCCTCGTGCCTCAGCATCCCTAAGTGTTGGGATTATAGGTGTGAGCCACTGCACCCAGCCCCATCACTTTCTTTATCATGTATATGTACAGATCTAATCTCTTCTGGACCCAACAGCCCTCACCCATAGCAAGTGGTTTTGTGTTAAGACTGAGTGAAGCTTTACTTACTCTTCTGGGGCTGCGGCGAATGGGAGTTACGGTTTCAGCTGCCAGGCTGTCACTTAACACGTCTCCGTCTGTTGCTCAGTTCTCTAGTACCTTTATAACACACAGTCATGTGCCACGTAGCGAACCTTTGGTCAGTGACAGACAGCATATACGATGGTGGTTCCCTAAGATTACAATACTGTTTTTTTTTTTTTGAAATGGAGTTTTGCTCTTGTTGCCCAGGCTGGCGTGCAGTGGCGTGATCTTGGCTCACTGCTGCCTCCACCTCCCGGGTTCAAGTGATTCTTCTGCCTCAGCCTCCCGAGTAACTGGGATTACAGGCATGTGCCACTACCCAGCTAATTTTGTACAATACTGTCTTTTTACTGTACCTTTTCTATGTTTAGAAGCACAAATCCTTACCATTGTGTGAACACTGCCTGCAGGATTCAGAACAGTACCATGCTGTAGAGGTCTGTAGCCTAGGAGCAATAGGCCAAACCATATGAGCTAACTGTGTGGTGGGCTTTGCCATCTAGGTCATTGTAAGTATACTCTATGATGTTCACACAACCTTGAAATCATCCAGTGACGCATTCTTCAGAATGTTGTTAGTGACGTGTGACTGTATTTTGGTATCTACTCTGGCTGTCTGGTGAGCTGCCTTTTATGAACTGAGACATAACTCCCATAAACAACACTGTCCATGTGGGAAATCCATTTTGAGTTCCCTATGAATTACATTAGCAGCTTTGGAAACACAATAGCCTGTTCTTCAAGGGAGGGCGGTCACAGGGTTAACTTGACAGTTTAAAAGGAAACAAGCCAGGCATGGTAGCTCACGCCTGTAATCCCAGCACTTTGGGAGGCTGAGGCAGGAGGATTGCTTGAGCCCCCGGAGTTCAAGACCAACCTGGGCAACATACTGACACTGTGTCTCTATTTAAAGAAAAAAAATTAAGAAAAAAAAAAAGGAAACAAAAGACACGTCTTCCAACCAGAGGATTGGTGACTAGTTATCCTTCATTTCCAACAAGGTCTCAAAAGAAAATTCTAAGGATTAAACCCAGGTGCTCAAAGGAATGGAATTAACCACATTCAAAATAAAAATGATTTCCACTTTGAGTGTCAAAGTGAGGGTTCTGTCACTAATGAAAAAACACACTTTAAAGGTCATAAAATATATAAGATTTAAAAATTCTAGTCCTGCTGACCTTGTGGTTTTAATGACCATAAAATGGGTGACACAAAAAAATACTCATCTTCATCTGTTAAAACTTTACCTAGGAATTTCCATTTGGAAAGTATTTAGCGAGAGTGAGTGGTTTATCAAGGCCACAGAAGCTTTGGTTTCTAAATGGATGATCCTATACAAAGAACCAATTCAGGATGTGAGAGCCAAGGATGGGGTAATTTTGCTTTGGTCTCCATGGTTTCTAGGAAGTAACGGTTTTCTAGGGCAGAGCCTGAGGAGGCAGGTGGACAGCCTACTTCAGAAATTCTCCATTGTCCCACTTTTAACTTTAGCATTCCTGAGAGCATGAATGTGGTAAAATTTTATCAGAAAAAATAATTCCATGAATTTAATATAATTGAAAGTCCAGATGTTAGTGGCAGATGGGCTTTTTGAATGTATAAATGATTCCTTTCCTGCTTGTAAATGACATGAAGAAACAGCGGGTTTTCTCCAAGTTTAAACACGTCACCACAGCGGTGGTGCCACATGTCTCCTGGGTCTCCACTTAGCCAGAGAGAGTAATGGAACAGATGCTCCAGTGCCCTCTCTGCTCTTGGCTTCCTGGCAGGGACACCATCACTTGACAGGTTCTTTTCATCAACAACCTCCACGGACCGAATGCCTGGGGAAATCGGGAAAACTGTTCTCGCAGTAACTGGTTTTTGACTGAGGGCCATGCCACAGACTTTTGTTCTTGGCTTTATTGTGTTTGGGGCAAATGGGATTTAAAGTCAGTGGAAAACTGGGAAGGCCAGTGAGGAAGGGAAAGGGGCGGTGGTTGAGTTCAGAGGTCAGCTGAGGAACATCACTAGCTTTACAGCAAAGGGCAAAGCAGAAGCAGTGGTACCCGTGACTGAAAGAACTTTCCACAGGCAACACCCAGCCAACCTGCCAGCCGCCTGTGGGAAACCCTTGAAGGCTTTCCCCTGTCCGTGGGCTGACAGGGCTCTCCTCCAGATATGGCCTTGTTTCCTGACCTCATCTCTAGCCTGTCCTCCTTGCCATTTCGGTTTCGGCCACTCCAAAAAACATCCCCTCAAGCCGCGCTGCTTCCAGTCTTTGCTTGTGCTGGTCTGCCAGGCCCTGGAGCCCTTTACGTCTTGTGGTCTTTCCCCTCACTCCCACCTCACCTGGAAAACTCTCCCTCAGGTCTCAACTTGGACTCAGGGGAAGAGACATTTATTGGTCCCTGTGAAAAAGCAGTTACCCGCAGTGGTTTGCTGGTGCCACTCCTGCTCCCCCACCACCCAGCACTCTCCCCTCTACAGGGACCGCCCACCCCCACCTGCTGGACAGCAAGGTCCATGGGATCAGGAACTGCACGTGTCAGGGACTCTGTGTGGCACTGTATGGCAAATCTCCAAGATCAGGAAGCACCGCTTTACATAGTCCTCAGTAAGTACTGAATCCAGGTATTTTATTATTTTATTTTTTTGAGAGAGAGTCTCGTTCTGTTGCCCAAGCTGAAGGGCAGTGGTGCAATCATGGCTCACGGCAGCCTTGACCTCCTGGCTTCAGTGATCCTCTCACCTGCGCCCACCCCCTCACCCCCGCCGTAGCTGGGACTAGAGGAAGATGCCACCATGCCCAGCTCATTTTTTTTTTTTTTTTGAGATGGAGTTTCACTCTTGTTGCCCAGGCTGGAGTGCAATGGCTCGATCTCTGCTCACTGCAACCTCTGCCTCCCGAGTTCAAGCGATTCTCCTGCCTCAGCCTCCCGAGTAATTGGGATTACAGGCGCCCGCCACCATGCCCAAATACAAAAAGCTAATTTTGTATTTTTGGTAGAGACAGGGTTTCTCCATGTTGGTCAGGCTGGTCTCGAACTCCTGACCCCAGGTGATCTGCCCACCTCAGCCTCCCAAAGTGCTGGGATTACAGGTGTGAGCCACTGCACCTGGCCTTCAGCTAATTTTAAAATTTTTTGTAGATACGAGGTATCCCTATGTGGCCCAGGCTGGTCTCAAACTCCTGGGCCCAAGCAATCTTCCTGCCTCAGCCTCCCAAAGTGTTCAGGATTACAGGCATGAGCCACTGGCCCCTGAGAATTCAGGTATTAGAAAGGACTCGGAGTAGCCTGGGGAAGACTCTCAGTAGGAAGAGGTTGGGGCTGGGTCTTTGATTACTATGTACTACAGGTTCTCTCAGTAGTGCTCCTCCAACAACTAGAAGGATGGGAAGGCAACAACAGCAGCCAAGGTTTCAGTTGGTAAGCGGACTTATGGAGGCCAGGGCCTCCGTGGAGAAGCTACGAAATTAAGCCAATTCCTAAGTCAGGCACTCAGGGTCCGCCACACAGGAACTGGTGCCTTTTCATGGGTAATGAAGTTGTTTAATGGCTAGCAAGTAGTTTTTAACTCTTCATTATGGAAATTCTCCAACATACACAAACAGAATAGTCTTAGAAGCCCTTATGAACCCATCACTTGCCCTCAACAATGATCAGCATTTCATTAAGTGGCTTTCATCATTTTTCCAGGCCTGGCCTACATCTGTGTGCTCCAGGATTGCAGCCCAGTCCAATGAAACATTTAAAAACATTTGAATCCTAATTATGTTATGTTGGGATGTCAGTGGTTCCAAAGGCAGGTGTTTATGGGATCAAGAACACAACGCGACCATTCTGATCTTCATGATCATACAAAGTGTCTATGCATGCCACGTGAGGATCTGTTGATGGTGACGTTGGACAGGTCAGTCCTCCTGCAGCGGCTTCCCCAACCCTCAGGCAGAGAGAAGCCCTTCATGAAGGATAGAAAGAACTTTCCTTGGAAAGAATAGGCTCCCCAATCACACTCCTTCCAGATGTTACCAGATTAAATAACTGCAACTCCTATCCTATCAGAATGAAGGGTGGGCAGCTGTTCCCTGGTGGGTGATAGGGGACCCATCTCACCCCCACAGCAGAGCTCAGTCTGAGGGGGACATCTGCAAAGGGAAGGAGATGCCTTTCTTTCCCTGAGTAGAAGCAGCTCCACTGTCCTCAAGTTATGCCATCAGCTCCAGGGCTCTCAGTCCACATCAAAGAACACTGGTAACTTCAGCTCAACCCTGCAGCAGCACTAAGGAAGCACACATTCCCAGGGGGCAAGGAAGTTTGTTCCCTTCTCCTGTGAAGCACATCCCAAAGCCCATTTTGTGGAACAGTTGTAAGGGAACCCAGTACATGAATGTATACATGAAAATGTGCCCGGCGTCCTCAGTGGAAATATCAAGGGCTCTCTTGACACTTATCGGTCCAGGTGCAAAATGGGTTGCTTGGGACAATGTCCTAATGAGATATTATCTTGTGACCAAGCTCTGCTTGATACTTTGTGCAGCTCCCTGCACTTAGCATTCCATAGAAGCTAAGGGGCTCTTCCTGCAGAGCTCACCGCCTTGAAAGCTGAGGGACCACCGTCAAAGTGATGTCAAAATGAGAGTAAATGAGTCATGAGTCTTTAGTTCATTCTGTGTGGTTTCTTAATAAATGAAGCTGCTGTTGAACTGTGAAGGAGGACAGAAACCACATGGACAACACACAGGATACTTCTAGAAGGACAGGTCAAGTTCAACTGTAGGCAGGGCGAACAGGATCATTTTATTCTCATTTACGCTTAAAATAAAGATACAATAGAAGTTTTACAATTCAGTATGATTAGACGTGATTTATAATTTTAACAATTAAAAAAAAAAAACTAGTACAAACTTTAAAACTACCAAAGAGAAAATACCTTTCTGATCAAAACATGTGCCACGGGCTAAACTTCCTTAGAAAACTTTTTAAGTTTTCTCAGCTAAATTTTCTTAGAAAAGGTTTGTGAAAAGCCTTTGATTGTAAATATTTAATCTGTTTTTGTAACCACTAAATGCCTTCACCAACTCATTAATCCAATGTTTCCTAAATTCAGGAACCAGTGACCAAGGGGCCTGAAACATGTAAGCCTTGATCTTATTCTTCCAGCTACAAAATACTATTATTTTAAGAAAACAAAATATTTTCTAAGCACAGAAGCTTTCTGAAAACTTCAATTACCTTTTCTGGCTCAGTACCTGACTGAAATGTTCAAATGTTCATATTGCACACACGAAAAAATCTGAGCAGCATACTACATGGGTGTGAGAAGCTGATGAAAAATAAGATCGGGAAAACCCCCTACACTGTTCCATTTACATGATTTAAATATATAGTTTCTATATCTTTCATATAAGTAAAAAGGTAAACTTTAGAACAGCACAGAAATACAAATGTATTTAGAGTTTTACAAAATATATTCAACCCCTCAGACATGCACAATTTTTTAACTTTGGAGTTACCATATAAGGGAGCTAGTTTTCCCTCCTTCATAATGAAAGCAGGAAGTCATGTGTACAAAGTCATTCATATGAAAAGAATAAACATCCACATTCCTTTTCTTTGTCCTTGACAAATATTTATGGAATGTCGGAAATTATGGAAAAACAATTCCAATGTTACGAAGTCCAAAGAACTGGAATGAGAAAACTCCTCGCGGCACATTACGCTGCATGGAATGACCATCATCCTCAGGGAATTAGGGTAGCATCTTCTACCACTTTTAAAGGCTACCACGAGACGGGGTAGAAATGCCACGAATGGCACCTCATCTCTGATCAAAGATTCAGAGCATGCAAGTGTTGATGCCATTAAAAGTCCCAACCATCTCCCCACTAAAATACCAGGCAATGCTTAGCAGCTGCTGTTCTAACAGGCTACTTTCCGCAACTGCTGACACAGGTTAAGTTCATGTGGTTAAAGGTCAGAACACTCACCCCCCTTCCAGAGCTGAAGTGCTCCAACACTCATCACTGGCTCTGGAGGGAAAAGACCACTAGCTGTAACTTCTACAAAACTTTTATTCACAAAATATAAAACAATAACAAAACCTACCTACCAGGGCGATAATGCTATAGCGTGACTTTAAAACTTGTAACTAGTAGAGTAACATTCTAACTGCTTTCTAAAAGAATTCTTATAACCCTTAGCACATGAACTACTGCTCTCAAAATACTTTCATTCAGATTTTAAGCACCTTGTTCCTCAGCCAGGCAACAATTTCTCACTTCTCTTCCGAATTTGCTTTCTCCTTGGCTTTCCAAAGGAAATTATTCTAAAAAACATCAGACGCTTCGTATACAATTTGGAAAGGAAGATAAGGTTGAGCAAGTCACATCATATGCTCTGGTTTGCTGCCAAAGTATATTGCTGCTGTGTTTCTTAACAGGAAAGTGGATGAGAATTGTTTTAGGGCTGTGCTTGGCCAGGGGGTAATCGCTAATGGATTTGGGAAGAGACTATTCATGCTGGTTATGTGAGCCAAATGCATATGCACAATCATTCTAAGCCGCCTTTGGACATGCAACTATTTCTGTTCCACAACTGGTAGCTTTAACTCTCTCTTCCTTACCTACACCATTGTCATTACAATATCTAGTAGGAATTGAAGTATACCAGGGACATTTTCCAAACTTTTAAGTCACCTGGATAGCAGTGAAGCCACCACCAAGACATTGATGTAGTGTGTGTGCCTGGCACATCTGAAAAAGGCTGGCTGACCCTGGTTCCCTCACACCTAGGTACAAATACTCAGTTCTTAGACACACAAGCCTTAGCAAGCACTGGGGCAAGTTTGGCCAACAACACACACCCCTTTACCAGGGCTGTGTCAGAAGATGGCCTAGTGGTGGCTCCTATGGCTCACAGAGCCAGGGTTTGGAGAGAGGCTGCTGCTTCTATGCTGGCCACTTGGAGCCTAGAATCCAAGCCTGAAGTATGTGGGGGGGTCACAGGACCAGGGGTGAGGCTTCCTGCCTTTGTGCGAACTGCCCTGGGGCTCCTGCCAACAATACAAGGGCCAGTGTTCCTTGAAAAACTCCACCTCCTAGAGCCTGAAGGAAATATAGCTATGGTCTTTTGACCATTTCTATGATGAAAGCTGTATTTTCTGAGATACTTGTTTTATGTTGAAAGTCAGTAAAGTGACCACTAAGAATCAAACTGTTAGCTAGAAATGTTAATAGAAAGTCCGATCAAAGTGTATATTCAAATGGGGAAAAAGTGGTATTAAAGAAAGTTAAACTTGATGTAACTATTTTTATTTCAGTGGATTCCAAAGCATGAGCTGGGCTGCTTTTGAAGGGTGAGAAATGGGAGTTGACCCCGATCATAGAAACCATACCAGCTGAAAGACAAATCAGCATCTCGCTGGATGACCCCTCACAGGGCTCCTGGATCCCTGAAGTGTGAACTTCAGCAGCTGAGAGGTAACAATTGCACACAAATCACACTATCATGCTCCAATGAATGATGTGGTCCTTGAGAAACAACAAGATGTTAGAATGAATTCAGTCTCAGCACAAAAAGATTAGAGTACTGTTTAAGGTTTTGTTTGGTATTACTTTCTTCTATTCAAACAGTATTTCCTGAGGTTAACTTTCTTGGAAGAAGTGGAATTAATGGAGTTCTCACATTCAGCCCTTCAGTTTATCATTGCTGAATTCTTGAGTTATGCTCAAATGAGTAATACAATTTGTGTTTAGAAAACACAAAGTGGAAAATTTAGAGATATTTAGATTATGTTTCTATGTTCATTTCAAATGCCTTGGGAGCATTTACTTCTTAAACATTTCATGAGGAATAAACCGAATATAATCAGTGCCCTCCTTTAATTCCCCAGCAATCTGGGATAGATCATACTCACAATGTATTTCCCAAGTATCCTTTGTTACTGAAAAGGCAGTCTTTTCCCTGTAAGTACTCTCTGAGAACACCCATCCCAGGTCTCCTTGAAAAGCAAATGAGAGCTGAGCATGGCAAACACACAAGGTCCAGCTGTGTACAGATCATCAGTAGATGGCACGCACATGCATGTATGTACCTAACATGAAACCAGATGTCCTTTCTCAGATGACAGATGTCAAGGCTGCAGTTTTCTTCTCTTGCCTCTTACTTTGATGAATATAAACTAAGATGAGATTTCTATTTAATACAGTCACCTTGCTTTTCTTTTAAAATACTTATAGAAGGGGGTAGGGATTGATTATAGGAGGACTTTCAGTTAGGGAAGTAGAAGACTAAGTGCTTTGAAAAGCTTTATGAAGAATAAGACTACGAGAAAAGCTGTAGGTCTGCAAACACCCAATAGAAAACTGTTTAAAAAAGAAACAGGCCAGGCGCAGCGGCTCATGCCTGTAATCCCAGCACTTTGGGAGGCTGAGGCAGACAGATCACTTGAGGCCAGGAGATCAAGACCAGCCTGGCCAACATGGCGAAACCCCGTCTCTACTAAAAATACAAAAATTAGCTGGGCGTGGTGGTGCATGTCCATAATCCCAGCTACTTGGGAGGCTGAGGTACAAGAATTGCTTGAACCTGGGAGATGGAGGTTGCAGTGAGCCGAGATGGCGCCACTGCACTCCAGCCTGGGCAATACAGCGGGACCCTGTCCCCGCTACAAAAAAAGTGAAACAGATGGCACAAACTCTGGATTAAAAAAAGTGCTTGTAAAAGACTGCAACATGACTGTGGTTGAAAAATAAACACATAGGTCTTTGAAAGTATTGCCCTACAGACACATTCATGTTAAACTGCTTCAGTATCAGTGAACCATCACTCTGCACTCCCACCTGCACGGTTATAAAGAGGAGGAAAGCACAGTGATACTCCTTGATGTCTGAAAGCAAGTTTTTAAGGATGTGGAAAGAACAAACTAAAAACATAAAACACCCGATCCTCAGAACTACCACCCCTGACTTTCATGTGTTTGGGAGGAAGTGAATTAATAAATGTTTTGTGGGTAGAAAGCAAAAATATCATCATAGAATTCAGCAAAATAATAAAGGCCCAACTGTGTGACCCCTTCACTTTATAAGAACATTTTAAGGCCAACTTTAGAGAAAATGATAATATAAATTAATTTTAGCAAGTATAAATTACAATGACCATCTAGATATTCAAACACCAAAACAGAACAAAATTTACATAAGTAAAAACTCTTCTAAAGTAAACCAATGTACAGTATCAGAACTCAAAATTCATTAGAAGGTTCACTGTATGTTTTAATCAGGCTCAGACTGAAATAAAAGTAGTCAATTGAAACCCCAACCTGGAAAGCCATCCCTGCTATGGCTGTGATTTCATCATTTCGGCATCCTGAAACATTCACTTAGAGCAACCGTCCATGTAAACAGTTCGACATCGGTCCCCTGCTGTGGATCTGTGGCTGATAACAGCCTGGGAGCAGCAGACAGACAGGGGACACTTAAACCTCAGAAAGCAATAGCAGCTTCTGACGCCCTGCTCAAGGCTTCCCATCCGGTGGCTCAGTGAGGCTTTGGGAGGTGGAAGTGGTAAAAGTGGAAAGCCATGAAGACATAGCTGTCTTTGCACTGGAAAAAGCTCCTCCAACTGACTGGCCTGGATGGAGAGGAGAAGAACAAAAGGAAAAATGTCTTAACTTTTGTTACAAGACAGTGAAAGACCAACATAATTAATACATTTTTAATTGAAAAAATTTTTTAAATGTTTTTTGAGACAGCGTCTTGCTCTGTCGCCCAGGCTAGAGTGCAGCGGAGCGGTCACAGCTCCCTGCGGCCTTGACATCCTGGGCTCAAGTGATCCTCCCACCTCAGCTTACCAAGTAGCTGGGACCACAGGCATGTGTGACCACACCTGGGTAATTTTTTTGTTTTTTGTAGAGACAAAGTCTCATGTTGCCCAGGCTGGTCTTAAAACACTTGGCTCAAGTGATCCTCCTGCCTCAGCCTCCCAAAGTGTTGGGATCAGAGGGTGAGCCACTGTGCCCAGCCAATAAATGTTAATTCACTAGAACTACACCAATATGTTAATAGTAGCCAATATATCATTTACGTTTTTAATTTCAAAGCAATCCCTTTCCATGGGAAAGTCTTAAGGAAAAATAGATGATTTTTTAGCATAGGAGCCTACTTGCCTAAGCATTCTGAAAGTACACTGTTTCTTTAATACCCTCAGTGCTAACAACACTGGCTATGTATCAGAATTATTAGAGAGCTTAAAAAGTCAAACTGCTTTGTGTATCTTAAATACCAACTTGATAATAACCACCTAAACAGGGAAGAGTGGTTAAGTTGTTTTAGGGAAATGTGCTTTTGTCATCTAAAATGAAGTTACGTTAAACAAAGATGTATAGAGCTCTATCTGCCCCAGGTCTATTGTGTTTTATAGAACATTATCTCAAAAGTTGATGTTAGGCCAGGCATGGTGGCTCACACCTGTAATCTCAGCACTTTGGGAAGCCGAGACGGGCGGTTAGCTTGACGACAGGAATTTGAGACAGACTGGGAAACATGGCGAAACCCTCTCTCTACAAAAAATAGAAAAATTAGCCAGGCATGATGGCACATGCCCGTAGTCCCAGCTACTTGGTAGGTTGAAGCAGGAGGATCCCGCCGGGGTTGCAGAGGTTGCAGTGAGCCAAGATCGCACTATATTGCACTTCAGCTTGGACAACAGAGTGAGACCCTGTCTCAGAAAAAAAGGTGATGCTAAGTGAAATTATTTAAGTTGACTAATACATTCCCACTGTTCTTGGAGAGGAAAGTATAGAAGAGATTTGCCTTTAGAATTTAACTATCAGTAGCAGCATCCCTAAAAATTAAGTAATAATGTATAATAATGTATCTATAATAATCTATAATATAGCATAGTTTTTCTATTAAAAAATAAAAATTCAAAATAAGTCAAAGGCATATTGTTTGGAAATAAATGTTTGTGTGTTAAATTCCATTCCTTTGCAATAAAACTAACATAGTGGTAGTGCTGTGTGTGCTGTGTTTGTCTTTACAAATGAGTCTGTAGAGTTTTCTGTCTCTCTCTAGGTATTCAGAAAACTGGGGATATAAGAACCCCTACACAAAGATTACCTAGTTCTGGGGCTTTTGAATTGTGTTCAGTAATGGTTAGTCAACCTCTTTCAGAAGCTAGGGAAGTAGTAATGCCCTATTTTTACAACACATTGTATGACAAAGCAGATGGGGCAAAATGTAAATAATTGGTGAATCAGAGATAACTAGGATTTTCTTGCACTGTTGCAATGTTCAAATTTGAAACTACATCAAAATAAAAGTTAAAAATATAGAAAAGGAATGAAAAATTTTAGAACTGATGTGGAACAATATTCAAAATATTTTAAGCGAAAAAAGCTAGGTGCAGAAGAACATGCTACCATTTGTCTGACTTTGATATTAATACTGGCCTCATCAAATGAGTTGGGGAGTATTACCTTATTTAAAGATTTTGTGTAAAACTAGTATTATTTCTTCCTTAAACATTTGACAGAGTTCAAACTGAAGCCACCTGGGCAGCCTGGTTTAAATTAAAAACCTTATGGCAAGACTTTTCATTTAAAGTCACAACCAATTTCTTTCTGTTTTTAAGACTCTTGCTCTGTCACCCAGGCTGGAGCGCAGTGGCGCTGTCATGGCTCACTGCAGCCTTGACTTCCTGGGCTCAAACAATCCTCCCACTTCAGCCTTTTGAGTAGCTGGGACTACAGGCACACACCACCATGCCTACTGACTTTTCAAATTTTTTTGTAGAGATGGGGTCTCACTATGTTGCCCAGGCTGGTCTTGAAGTCCTGGACTCAAGCAATCCTCCCACTTCAGCCTACCAAAGTGCTGGGATTACAGGTATGAGCCACTGCATTCAGCCCAATTTCTTTAATAGATAATAGGGCTATTCATATTTTCTTTTTGCAACTGTTTCGGTAATGCGAATTTTTAAAAGAATTTGTATATTTCATTTATGTTGTTAAATTTGTTAGCATAAAGTTGTTCACAATATTCCCCTATTTTCTGTTCTTTTAATTTCTGTAAGAGCTACACTAATGTCCCTCTTTCATCCCTAATGTTGGTAATTTGTAACTTCTTTCTTTTTATCTTTACCAGTCTGTAAAGATTTTATAAATATTGTTGACCTTTTCGAAAAACCAACTGTTGGCTTCATTTTCTTTATTGTGTAATAGTACCTTAGAGGACAGTAGTTCCTAATGCCTACTTTTATTATGAGTCTCTGCCATTTATAAAGAACTGTGGACAGCACAGGGAATGGGGGAAGAAAACTCTGGTGAAGCTTGAATCTTGGTAACAAAACAGTGACTTCATCAGAAAATTCTGTCACTCTCTATTAGATGTAATGGAGCTTGACCTT